TTCAGGTGAGAACAAAAGGGAGCCCTTTGCAAAACGGAGACACAGCAACCCCCCTCTGCTTTCCACCAACCCATCCTCCACTCCTCTCCCCCCCCCCCACAACTGCCCCAGTTTCTCCATCCACGCCACCTGCTGGCCCTCCTTGCATAGAAAGTGGCCCCCTCCCCCCATATCCTCCCCCCCCCCCCATCTTCTTCCACTGCCCCTCCTTTGAAATAAGGCTGCCCCATTCAAAACCACTGCAAAGAGGGAGGAAGGAGCCAGGATTGGGCCTCCAAAGCTTTGGGGAAGGATGGAGTGGGGGGGGGGAGGAAAGAAGGGGTGGGGGCTTCCCAAGAAAAGGGGATGAGAGGGAGAGAAAGGAGGGCAGGAAGATATAACAACAAACAACGATCACTTAAAATGCATCCCCTTCCCCCCTTCACCTGGCCAGCCCCTCTCTGGCTTGGTAGAGGGGGGGGGTAGTCTGGTGCAAGGGCCCCCCTTCCTCCTCCTCCTCCTCCTCCTGGGACCACCTGGAAGGAGGGAACCCACCCACCCCAATCTTCTCTGCTTTACTGCCCCAGCTCTCTGGATTTTGCGCAAAACTTCCAGAGTTGTGCCAGCCCCTTTTGGTTTCCTTCCTCAGGTTTTTTTTTTGGGGGGGGGGCGTTTTTGGGGTGGGGTTGTCTTTGGGGTTGAGCATCAATTCTGCTCTTGGGACTGTGGGGCGAGTGCCCCCTTCAGTGGGGTGTGTGTATGTGTGTGTCCCTGGTTTGATTGTTGTCTTGTAAAAGAAGGGAGACTGCTGGTTGCTGGTTTTGGAAGGAGGTGTCCATTGAGACGGGACACAAACACACACCCAACGCACAATCTCACTCACTCTGAAGGTGTCTTCTGGGACACAAACACGTACACACACAATCTCACTCACCCGGAAGATGTCCACTGGGAGAGATAGACACCCACACACAAACACAACAAAAACACTAACACACTCACTTTGAAGATGTCCTCTGGGAGACACACACACACACACACACACACACACACACACACAAATACTGGGAGAGAAGTCCACCCGCACAACAAACACACATTCACTCTGAAGGTGTCCATTGGGAGACACACACACACACAAACACACAAATACTGGGAGAGAAGTCCAAGGACACAACAAGCACACAACAAACACATTTATTCTGAAGATGTCCGTTGGGAGACACACACACACACACTAGGAGAGAAGTCCACCCACACAACCACCACACACAAACACAGTAACACACTCCCTCTGAAGATGTCCACTGGGAGAGACACCCACCCACTCAGGGGATGCCGGAACAGTCGTAAGTGTGGATGATGGCCGTAAGTCACTGTTTTCAGAGCCATTGTAACAGTCAGTAAACAAATGGTTGCAAGTCGAGAATTACCTGCATTTCTTCTCCCTTCTCCTCCTCCATCATCCCTCATGTCCACCAAAGGCGGACAATTCTAGTGGCCCACCAACTGTCCAAGGAAGCCTACTGGTCACTCAGCAAATATCCTTTAGGGGCCACCCCAGGGTCATCAAGACTGATAGCCCTTGGCACTTACACAAATCAAATTTTGGGTGGCCAGCTTCTCCCGTGGTTGCCTTCCATACAAGTAAACCTCAACATATCCCCATTCATTTAGTGACGGAAGTCACAACGGCAGTGAAAACAGTGACTTATGACCAGTTCTCCCCTTTTACGACCGTTGCAGCTTCCCCACGGTAACCAAATCCCGGTAAACCAGCTAATCAAAGCTTGGGCCATCTGGCAACCAGCATGTCTTTACAACCTATGGTCCTGGGCTCCTGTGATCAACATGGCTACTCTAAGGAAGAGAAGGACCTGGGGAGACAGGAGAGCAGCCTTCCAATATTTGAGGGGCTGCCACGGAGAGGGGGAAAGGGTCAAGCTGTTTTCTAAAGCACTCAAAGGCCAGACATGGAAGAATGGATGGAAACTGAACAAGGAGAGATTCAACCTAGAAATAAGCAGAAACTTTCTGACAGGGAGAACAATTAACTCATGGAACAGAAGTTGCCTTGGGAAGCTGTGGGAGATTCATCACTGGAGGCTTTCAAGAAGAGACTGGACTGCCACCTGTCAGAAATGGTGCAGGGTCTCCTGCTTGGGCCGGGGTTGGACTAGATGTCCTACAAGGTCCTTTCCAACTCTGTTAATCTATAGCAATCTATAGACCCTCCCAGCCGGCTTCCTTCCGACAAGCCAACTCAGGTTTGCAAAATGTGATTCGTTGAACAACTGACCTGATGCACTTAACTCTGCCAAAAAGGCGACCAAATCTGGCGCAGCTTCCTTAGCAACGGCCTTGCTTAACCACGGAAATTCTGCTGCCAATTCTGGTCGAAACTCAAGGACTACCTGGCAGACAGCGCAGGGCATTAAAAACAAGGACAAACAGGCTGAAAAACAGCTGCTATCCCAGAGCTGAATTCTGCTGTATAGTGCAACATTAACGCAATATCAAAGGTTTTCAATTCAATTGTATAGAATGCAAAGGATGTCTGTTTTCGTCTTGTTTTTGTATGTATAAGGTACACTGAAGATGGCATTTAATTTCATTGTACAAGGTGCAATGACAATAAAGGAATAAAGTAACCATGTTGCTTGTATCCTTACAGTTTATATTGTTTTATTGTTTCCTAGTATGATTTGATTGCTGATTAGTAACCTATGACTATCACTAAGTGTTATATCTTATGGTTCTTGATGAATGTATTTTATTTTTCCTTTATGTACACTGAGAGCTTATGCACTAAAGACGAATTCCTTGCGTGTCCAATCACACTTGGCCAATAAAGAATTCTGTTCTATTCCCTATTTTATTCTATTCTATTCCTTTTTTATTCTATTCTGTTCCTTATTCTATTCTATTCTCTATTCTATTCCTTATTTATTCTATTCTATCCTCTATTCTATTCCTTATTCTATTCCTTATTCTATTTTTTATTCTATTCTATTCCTCTCTATATTCCATTCCATTCCATTCTATTCTGTTCTTCTCTATATTCTATTCTATTCCTTATTCTATTCTTTTCTATATTCCATTATATTCCATCCTATTCTCTTCTGCTTTCTAATCTATTCTATTCCTATTCTATTCTATTCTATTCTATTCTATTCTATTCTGCTTTCTATTCTATTCCTTTTTTATTCTGTTCCCTATTCTCTTCTCTTCTCTTGTCTTCTCTTCTATTTTATTCTATTCTATTCT